AAGGAGGCACATGAATTAGGAGATTACAAAAGTATACTCGCTTTCTCTGAGGTAGGTGATGGTGTGAAGGAGGTTATCTACTGCTGTCATTATTAAGAGGGACAATATCTCACTACAAAACAGGTGATGAAGGTAGCAATTGTCCCTGGTGTAAGAACAGAAGTAAAGGCGTGTATGTTTTCAGACCGGTGTTAAGGCACATAGATACCACTGTGACAGGTGCAGTGTGAATACGACATATACTTGGAAACAAAAGTGAGACATTGGAGGAAAGTGAAAATGGAAAACTTTCCAGATGCCAGGTGGAAAATGATATTAAAGCTGTCAAAATAAGTCACAACATAGACTGGGTTTTCTCATAGACTAACACAAGTCATGTTCTGGAGAAGAATGGAGTTTTCAACTACAAGACTGAATATCAAATGAAACAATTGTGAGCATTGGAGGTTAAACTGGGGCTTATTTGTCTGGCTTTTTTGTTTTGGTCTCTCTTTTTCTTTTTTTCTACCCCCCCTTTCAAGTCTACTGCAACAGTCCTGATTTACGTTGAGTTTTGTGGACAGGTCAAATGTGTAAATAAATCACACTGTTATTGCTTCACATAGTTATCTATTCTGGGCCTAATTCCAAACCCATTTAAATTGATGGCAATCCTTCTGTCGGCATCAGAGGATCAGAGGATTGTAGTTTAGGACCTATGATAGGAAGATGGAGGTGCAAAGCATAGACAGTAAAGCCTGGTTCTACAGCCTCTGCAGTCATCCGAAGTGATTTTCTAAAACACAGGAAGGGAATGAAACTGAAGACTTTGAACTACCTTCAAGGTCAAATATGCTTTATGTTACATGGTAATGGAGCTTTCAAAAAGTCAGTTCCATCTAACAAGCATTAAGCATCTTAAATATTATAAAAGACATTAGTCAGACTTAAGACTGACAATCTGAACAGATAATCCAGTATTTTACTCATCAAAAAAGTCAGCTGCGCTGTTCGTACTCAGAGGAGGATGCAGATCAGAACAAAGTTTGCTGTGTTTCCTTAGTGCAGTCAAGGGTAGAACTTGCTCTGCTGATTTAGGATTTCAGTTGTCCATATATTCACCTTCACACACTGGTAGATTCTTATCAGCAATTTATCTGCAATTTTGTGGGTGAATTTTGTTTCTTTATGTAACATTACTTTAGCACAAAAGAATGTGCCTACATTAAATTCTTTGTATTTCTTATAAAATAATCCTAACAAGCAATATTCATGCTGAGTATGTTTACAGTCCAACATATAATTGTGACTTAAAAAGTAAAAAAAAGTCCTTTATGCTTTTCATGAAAGATTTTTCATGCGGACTGTTGATCTGATAGAAAGAAACAGACCTTTCAGAGGACTGGATAGAAGCTTGAGTGCAATTACAGATAGCTGATGCTGTAGGTAGTACTGGTAACTGGACATTGTGTACACAATAAACAGCCATTATGGAGCTGTTAACCTCTATTGTGTCAAAACATAATTAGAAAGTGGTTGAGTTTGTAGACTGCTCATCCAAGTGATTCCTTTAAATTCATCAAAAATTAACTGGAGGGCTATTCTGCATTTGAGTTATAAATCCTTGAAAATATCAGTTTATAATGGAAATAGTGACAGATGTTTAACTGTAGCTGCATGGATGGTGCTGGTATTAATAATGCAGAAGTACAAGGCAGGACAGCTCTTGGATGCTGATGACTGTTCAAGTGCAGAAAAACTCATTAAAATGACCTAAAGGAGGATATATTATTATAACAACTTTTTTCCTCAGTGCCTTTCAACTATCATAATTGCATAGTATACATAGCAACTTGAAAAGATTCAGAAATGTGTAAGAAGTATAATCTCTGGCTACAGTCACCAGCAGCATAATTATATGAATATGTTGTGTATTCTGCATCCTGCTCTTTGGTTTCGAGAGCCCACAGATTCTGTAGGTGATGAATAATGCGGTATCTAACTAAAATATCAGCCCTAAATTGCTGGAATACATATTCAACCTTAAATAATTGCTCTGAATTTGTGTTGATTCCAAGTAACATAATAGCTATGACTAATTTGCAGTTATTGAATGTAAAAAAATTGTATTAATTTTGCGTTTAGGATTCTGCAGATTTGTGGATAGGAGTTGTTGTTGTCAAGGGTATTTATGGGAGTTACAGGAACTTGCTGTCTCTAAGGATAAGGCCCAGTAAGGTCAATGACCTAAAATCAGGCTTGTCATGAGATTGTTTTTTGAGATGAGAAGGTTTTAATTTTTCATTCTTACAACTTGTTACAGCGGCCCTGCCAATGTACTTTTCATGGCTACATCCGTTGCAGTAATCAGAATCACTGGGCTTTCCAATGGTGCCGTATAGCACCTGCTATCTCAGACACCCAAACCACAGATCTAGTAATAATGTCCCTGCCAGATCCAGTGGAAAAGGGGACACATGGTTCCTGGGTACCCAGCAGTGTTAACTGTGCTCAGAACCACACCATATAATATTGGCTTTGTGCAAAACACCAGCTCCAGTCTGATGGAATAGTACAGCTAAACAGGCCAGCGGCATTTGCTGCTACTTTGTGCTAAGGATATTTCACAAATGCCAGTTTTTAATGGGTGAGTTACACAGGAAAGGAAAGCCATGAATTGGTTAGGGGTTTTGTTTTGTTTAAAGTTCAGTATGTGGTTTAGCAGGATCTGGACCATGCTGGGCTATAGTCGCTTTGCAATGTACTGTACTTTGGAACACACTGAACTAATACTTAGAGATAAAGCTCCAAATCTGTCCTTTGCACTAGCGTACAATAGAGTATTAATAGTAAGTGGGCCTTATAAAATGTTTGACGGTTGGAAATTGCTAGTCTAGAAGGGTACACAAGATTAAATGTTAAGTCTCTCAAATTGTACAAGTTACCTCAAAGACATTTTTACAATGCCTATGGAGAACTCTTAAGTCTAAAACTTCTTGTTCTCATTGAATAACCAATCCAGGCCTAAAGTATAGTGTAATGATGCTTATATATCACTCTGCTGCTTCTGCAAACGTACTTCAGCCAATTTTGTAAAATACTTCAGCTCCCAGGGTAAGAGACGCTGCGGCACTAGCAGTGAGCCAGCTCTTGAGCAGCACTCCAGCGACATGGCACCCAGGCTCAAGTGTTTCCGTGAGAGAAACATGGGAAGTACTTCAAATGTTTTGCAAGCGGGGAAACCAGTTGAGCTCAGCCCGTGGTCTCCAGCCAAGTGGGAGCAGAAGGTTAAGGGCCTACAATTAAGACCGAGAGAGCTCATCTAGGACTCGAGCGTGACAAAATGGCAGGCGGCTTTTACAGGAGGCCCTGCTGCCTAGCCGCACGGATTGGCCGTGCTCCCGCTGCCAGAAGGGCTCTTTGCTAAGCGTCGGGCACGGGCAGGCCTCGGGAGGTTCGCCCCTGTCAGCCTCTTCGGGAACTGCCAGGAGAGGAACCAGCTCTCCCCCACGCTGCCCACGAGTGGGCTTCCAGCCCCCGGCTGCGGCTGAGGGGGAGACTCCTCGCTGGGGGCGCGCCATCACCCAGCTCGCGGTGCGCACGGGGGTCGGGGCCCCTCCACATCGAGCCCCTTCTCCGCCTGAGGGGGAGCCGCAAGCGCACGGGCCACGATCGCTGCTGTCTCTTATACACA